TTAAATACTGAGCGAAGTAAAGTTTTTAAATAATAACACATATCATTTAAAACGCTACTAAAAAAATTAATCAATGTATCAATAAAGGTACGAATGTGACTAGTTTTTAATGCATACAAATTTCCGTGAAAATGAAATTATTTTTAAGAAGCTCTGGTATCATTTAAAGTGAGCATATAACAATTTTTAGCATCAACCGGTCATCTTTGCGTATCAGTTTCCATATTGTTAATCCTTCTCCATGTTGAGGACTTTTTTTCTCTTATCATATTGTAGAATTGGCCGTTTGTCTGATTTGGTAATCTGATTACCAAATTACGATTGGATTGGTGACATTGATTAAGTGGTATTACATTATTCTAATAATGCAGCTCTAGATCCACCTGAATTTGAAAAGTTATTCGATATTCCTTCATAATTAGGATTAGATCCTAAGATTCTAGATCCTAAGATGTTTGGATTCCTTTATAATTCGATAATCTTACATTTTGTAAAAAAAACAATAACTCCCAATTGGTCATAAAAATCTCTTGGCATATGATGTCATTGAATCAGAAATGTCTCTAAAAACTACTTTTGGATCCTCCGAATTAAGATCGATTTTATGAACCGTATTTTTAACTTTTTAAGAAATTTTTAGTAAAGCACTATCACAAAATACCTCTCTTGTGTCTTGTGAGCAGAGATTTAATGGTGAAGTTTTACTTTTAGAAGTATTGTTTTTATCGTATTTATAAATTTTTTTAAAGATTTGTTCATTTTCTATATTTGCTTCTTTTATATTATTGGAAAGAAGACCTGTTGGATCTGGGAACATTCTTATAACTGTTTTAGGTAATTTTAGTGCACAAAAAACTTGAATTTGAGGTTTTGAGTCTACATAATGTTTTTAATGAGATCTTGGTGGACATTTAAAGTCTCAGTTTTTTCTTTAAATTATTATTTCTATTTTTCACACTCTAATGATGATTATTTATAGAAATAGGTATCGGAATGTTTTGTTGTTGTTGAGGCCCTTAATGCCATTGTTCATCTGTTCTGACTTGGAGGGGCCCAAGTCAGTTCGTCAGAAATATTCAAAAATTGTTAATGCCGGACTTGTCCACCGGCGCGTCAGTCAACTCACTGGACCAATCATCGGGAAGTATTTCCCTTATGGCCCAGAAGGCAACTCTACGGCCCTAGTGACGCCAACAAGCACGCGGTCGAGCACTTGTGGCGTCAGTTAGCTCCAGGCAAATCACGCGGTCATCTATGTATAACTTTTCGCAGTCGAATCGCAGATTTTTCAGTCAGCTCACCTTTTGTAGTTACAAGTACGGTCAAATAGACTCAGACAACTCTCACGAATATACGTGAATCATCAAATTACTCTCATCAGTGCCAGTGGTCCAGTACATTCAGTTGTAGTGTCTTTGGGCGCGAAGCTGAACTGGCGTCGGCGCCATAGTGCCTCACGGACATTCACCTATACATCGCTCCCCCGAACAACTCTGGTGTATACTGTGAATGTTGCTATTCACTGTTTTTTGAGACTATGTTATTTGGTGACAAAATAACCATTAGACAACTCATAAGTGTACAAACAATTATGGTACAGTCAACTCAACTATATGTAGTGATTATAAAGTTCTATTGAGTATGTTAAGTGTTATTGTTGAATAAAAACTATAAAACCCAAGCAATTCAGTGTTAATGAACTATTCTTTGGAACCTTCTAGCATCCAACCTTTATTCTTATTCTGCTCTTAATTCATACAGTCCACTAGTTTTCAGTTTGCTCATTCGGCCGACTCGAAGTCAGAACATCATCAGTATCTGATAATACCTCAGATATTAAATCCAATATCAATTTTTCTTCAGACGATAATGCAGCATTAGATTGATTATGTTTTGCTTAATAGATCGAAGATGTTCGAAAGATTGAAGTAGACGATATTGATAATACGAATGTTTGTTCATCGATAATTGATGAGTTTGATTCAAGAATATTCAACAATAAATTCTTTTTCGATAATTTTTCTTAGTAGATCGAAATTTTTTCGATGTAAGATTATCTTTTTCAACAAATTTATCTCTGAGTTTTGGTGAAGTTGGTTGCTCATTTCCTTGAGTACACTAAATAAGATACAATTCTTCTTTCTTCTCTATATCTCGTAAGAAATTCTACAAATTTGAATTACATAAAGTTATCAAAATTTCTGTCATTCGTTCTATACGTCATTTCAGGTTATGAAGTTTTTTATTATTATTAAAAAACTAGTTGAAGTATCATATCAATCTGAAATAGCACTTTCAATGAATTACCTAAATTGACTATTTTATTGAAAGTTGTAAAAAATAACATGTTAACAAACTTCATCAATATCAAAATCATCAATTCCAGACATATCATTTCCTCGATTATTTTTCTTGAAAACTTAAATTTTTAAACATATAATTTAATATAATAATAGTAATAAAATAATAATATAATAATAATATAATAATAAAATAATAAATTAAAAAACAAATTCCGCTGCTATCACTTTAGATCTTGATTCTTATCTTTTCTTCTGCTTCTTTTCTCAATAATTCTACACTTTCGGGTTCAACTAATTCTAAAAAATCTTCTAAAAAATATTTTGTTAATAATAAACAAATCGATTTTGGAGAATTTTGTACCCAACACTCGAATGTGTTTTAACCTTTCTATTTCAACAATTCCATCGTCCACTATATTATTAAGAAATGGATGCCTCTACAATCATGTTTTATAAAACACATTTTGTACAAAATTGAATAAATTATCTTACAAATTAATATTCGGAAATCATTAGTTTTTTATATTTCATGTAACTGCGTCAAATTGCGAGAGAAAATAGTGATTTAACGGAACACTATTTTTCTTAAATTTGTAAGTAGTTATAAAAAAACTGAACACTAAACCATTATTAAATAAATGATTAATAAATTTTTAACGTTTTGATTTTAATTATTATAACTACTGTTATTTGTTGTATTATTATAATCAAATAATAAAAATATATATACAATGTAATCTATAACCTACGTACGATTACCAATTTGAAAATGCAAATTTCTGCCTGTGGACAGAATACAATGTGGCGGATAGAATATTTATTTTATATGTAGTCTATTGATGTAGAGTTACCAACTCAAGAAATCTGAGAATCTTGACTTTCGTTGAATATTTTTTAGAAAAGTTCAGACTTGTGATCTTTACGAATGAATATCACTTTAATACTAATAATACTCACAGACTAAAAATTATGTTTAAGCCTGCTGTTATGTCTTAACGTACAATTAATTTATCGAATTAATTGCAATAAAAGACACAAACATAGAATTCTCCGATTTTGCCCTAGCTTAATAGCCAATAGACAGGTAAGGAGTACTAGGATCTTTAATTGTAAAAATTGATTGAACCAGTAATATCATTTCAAAGTGACTTTTAAAGTCATATATTCCCTTGAATTAACAGCAAGTAAATCTACAAGATGTACGATTCGAGATGAGGACCCCAATAGTCCATTGATTTAAGACAGGAACCACAATTTAAACACTGATACACGTTCGTTTGATTCAAACACGACTTCGGCACTAACTATTGAGTTTTTACAATGGTATGAATATTATTTGAAGAAGGTGTTGACTTTTCAGAAATTAGCTTTGTGATTTTTAACTTATTAATTGTTATAGGTGAGAACTAATACTTCAAGGAACACAGTATCCCTTCCATATTGGTGACACCGTAGCCTGACGGTATCTTACTCCGGACCGATGTCACCGGACGTAATTACCTTCCCAATTGTTTCTACTAATATGTGTTGAGACGGCACAATCTCCTTAGAGTACGAAATTGCTACGAAATTTTAAGTTATTTTGCATGTATATACGATACAGATGATTTATTAATTATTGGTAAAACTTTTCAAAGTAACATAAATTGTTCTATTGCTTCTTTCATAATTTCTATAGAATACTTCATTGAATTAAAATTAACATGATCATAAATTATTGATAATATTACGAATTACGAATACAAAGAATATTACAAAATTACAATATTACAAACACAAGAAATATTTTAATAATGAGATAATAATTACTAAAACAGTTTAATGTGAAGAAAGAATTGTTATTTACTTCTCAAAATTAATAAAAACAGACGGAGGTTACACTGCGAATAAAAGCTCATAAACGATTTGTATGGCAAACCTATTAATACATTATGCGTATGTGCTATACTTTAAGAGTTAATAGAAAAAATAGAATTGAGAGGAAAGGAGGAGGGTAAAATTTCTCGTATAGAGTGTCTGCTGTTGCGCGCTGTCATAAGGAATTGCGAAAGGAAGAGATAATGTAAAAAAAGTGAGAAACAGAAAGTGGGACGTAGACTTGGCGCGAGTGACAAGCCGATCACTCTTGATAGGTATAGATTGTCGTTCAAAGTTCTAGACAATTTAAAAAATGAGATAACTAATTTATCAGTGATTATTTTTACATGATTTAAAATTTGACGTGAATTTTTAAATAAAGACACTTGAATCATGAGTTTTTTTAGGTCGTTTAGATAATTTAAAAAGTGTTAATGATTATCGGAATTCTTGAATAAAATGAAAATATGGTAGAAATTATAAATTACCGATGAAAACGCAATTCAAATTTTTTCGGAGCAACAGAGCATGATTTTACCGATTGATAATCTACGTCATTGATGTGTCATGATTATGATAATGAGTTCAAAATTAATTAATAATTTATAGAAGACATTAAAAAAAAACATCATCTTATTACCAATACAAATTCATAATAATGAAGAAAAACTGCTCTAAAGAACCCTAATATACAATTTCGATAATGTTACCAAAAAAATTAGTACAATTACTACGAAAATAATTAAAATCACTACAGGTGCTGATGTTTATATGTTTTCTACGTATGAATGTGATATTTATCAGTTTTACGACTAGAAAATAATTTTTGAAAATACATGCCTGAGTTGGGATCATAAACTGGTGTACAATCATCATCTTCATCGTCACCAACACAGCCACTTCCTGCTCCCGAAAAAATAAGATCGTCCATTATTCCTGGTGTGCCAGATGCAGGTGTCTAGAAAAGGAAAGTAAAAATTTACGGATACTTTTATTTCTTTAAAGAAGGCTCTAACTTAAAAAAATTTATGATCAAGATGTTATAATACTGACAATGATAAATAATTGTATACTATTATTTATTATATCCTCATAAATTTCGTTTAATTAATAATAAATGAAGAGGACATAATGATCGAAATATAGTATAATGAAAATTAATGATAAATTATTTGATAACATGATAAAAACATGAAAATAACATCAGTTTTTGGTTATTTACATATCATTAGTGATTATTTTGTAAACAAATGCTTATATCTCGCGAACGGTAAGAGATACGACGAAAATAATTAAATTTTCAGGCAGTTTTTATGGGGGGGTCGTACTTTTAACCCTCAACTGTTTAGTACTTTTATGTTCAAAAAAATTCCATTTATCATCAATATACAATTCACTTTTGGTAGTAATTAATGAAAATTCAATTATTTTGTTTCTAATCAATTCAGCATTTAGCAAGGATATCCACTCTTATGAACAAAATAAACTAAATTATCTTTTCTCCACTAGAATAATTCTTTTGTATATGTACTGTATTTTTAGATTTTACATTGTAATCATATTCCGCTAATTTTAAACGCTATTCGAATACTCTTGCGTTTGCCTTTTTTGCAGATTGAAACCAGATAAATGGTTTATGATCAGTAACTAACGTGAATTTATGGTACAGGAAAATTTTTTACTGCATCTAATTTCGATAGATTAGGTCTTAACCCTTTATTATTAATAATATGATCCGGATAATGTACGTCACTGCGCCAAAAATTCATATTTATCTAATTGCAAATCAGCTTTACGTAAACGTTGCATTAAATCATCAATTCTTTTTCCATGGTCATTAAAATTTTTCGCCAAAACTCCGATATTGTTTAATAAACAAATATCGATATACCTTGTAACCCAGGTAAAATCGCAATCATTTACCTTTAGAACGCTGCTAGTGCATTTCTTAACCCAAACGGCATACGTTTCAACACCCAATGTCCTTCTGGAGTTAAAAATGTCATCTTATGGCTATTCTTTGGATCCATCTCAATCTGATGATATCCGGAAGCCGAATTAAATACAAAGAAATACATTGAACCGTCTGATTGATCAAGAATATCAGTTATATTTGGTAATGGATAAACGTCAGTAATAGTTTTTTCATTTAATTTTCAGTAACGTATGAGGACGTGCCATCTTTTATTACCTTGCAAGCCTGATTTTTTAAGCACGATTCAAACTAGACTTTTATAAGAAGACTAAAAATGCCCAATCATGCCTGTGTCGAGTTCCTCTTCAATTTGCTTTTCAATTTCTGTTCTTGAAAACTGAGGTGTAAAATACTGTTTTACAGTTATAGGAATATCTGAAGTAGGAGGTATTTTATGATTGTATACATCTGTTGACCCTCATGGTTTACCTGGAATATGAGACCGATCTGGATATTTTTCCAAAATTTTTCCGACATGTGTTCTTTTTCCTTCGCCTAAGTGGCTTAATCTCAATAACATTATAATTTTCTCAAATCTCTCATCATTATCGTCAAAATCTAATTGAGTTTTAATTTTACAATTTCTACTCCAATATTCTTCTTGATCAATTCTAGAATCATGTATATTCACCATTGACTGTATAAATGAAGTAGGAATTTTCAATCCCACTTCATTCTTAGTCGTATTAAAAACCTGCATATAAGCACGACCATTATTGATACGTAGTAAATAATCTCGAACAATTCGTCGAAGTGTGCGCGGAAGAGAAATAGATCGAGGAGATTAGGCGCATCCGCGAGAAAGTGAGATAGAAGAGAAGAGAAGCGCGAGCAGTAGCACCGATGACCAATAGACAGACTTCTACACTCCATAGCAGTAGTAGGTAATTACAACCAGCGCCATAAAAACATAGGCCGTAAACTTCAGTAACCACACCTGGGTGTTGTCTGAGCATCTAGGCACAGGCTGTAGGCCTGCAATCTTCAAAGGACACCTGTAGTCTGTGGATTAAACGGATAGAGTACTTCAAGTTACTTTGCTTTATTTCATTTCTTTTATTATCACTTTTAGTTCATCTTCAACCTTCAGCTTGAATTATATTTGATTTTATTTTGCAAACAATCTACACTTGTCTGGTGTCCCTGTCAAAATACGTATGACTCAATTTACCAGAGGATGATCAAGAGAGTCATGCTTGAACATTACCATTTAACTTGTAGCGAGAAGCGCCACTATTCTCAATAAGGCAATAACTCTTATTTTATAGCTACAAGACTGGCCAATGCTCAAAGGCAAAAGGGCGGGGCCTACAGCGCGAGAACCCCCCGGAGAGACTCGTAAGGAAGCCAGTCATCGAACATAGGTATCGATTGACGAACAGCACAAGCAGAGCGGACTTAGTGCCTGTAGATGAAATAATAAAGCGACAATTAATAATCCATAACCGTAACAAACTTGTTATCGCGAATTATACGGAAGAATAAAATCTAACAATTCACCGCGATAAAAGTAACGCGACGATTGTATGTTGGGCGAAAAAAATAAAATTTTGTTATTTTTCTGAATCATTGAGTGCATTTCTACGGGACCTTTGCGAAAACCCAGTCACTCAGCTACTCAGAAAGATCAGTCGAGACGTTCTTCAGACTAGAGGGAAAGTTTAACGGCAAGATTGGGAACTTGTGGGGCAAACTGCATGCACGGTAGAGGTCTTTCTTATCTCGAGAAGTAACTTTATGCCTGGCGTTATAATTTTCCTTATGAAAGGAAGAATCATTGAAAGAAAAAAAAAACAGGAAAGCTATGCATGCTGGTACAAGCTGAAAATTGAAAAAAATTACGAAATATTAGTCATTAGATAGCGACATAAAAATATTTTACAATATGTTAGTCATTTAATTTCTGCCCCGACAAAGCATGCTTGTTTCTTTTGTGAAGAATTAAATGTAGGAATTAGTCATTTTTCGCAACTTTTGAAGACAAAGAAACGGTAAACGGCTAATTGAAGATTTTAGAAACAAAGGTGATTACAAACATAATTTGAATCTTAGTCTTCAATGGAATACTCATGAGGGACTTGTCTTGAGACGGCCAAATTCGAATGTTAGAAAATAGCTATTCGATTTGGCTTATTGTTTCTTTGTAAGACATATATCAACTTTTTTCCACCAAAATACATTTTATTGTGTTGGTATTGTTTCATTTCTCTCAAGAGCACGAGCGGCTATATCTTTTCATTCAAAAACAATAAATTCCATTAGTCGTCCAGTTTGTCCCATCCCCTTCAAAATTTTTAGGTTCAAAGAAACCAGATCCTGTTTTATTGAACCCGGACCACGAGTCTTTGTGAAATGTAAGGATTAAAGGGGTTAAGAGCAGGCTCTTTTCTTGGATACTGGTGGAGATGTGTGTCTTCTCAGTCTCGACGCCCCTCGACCACACATGCACAAAGAGATAGACACGTTGTTCAGACTCTAATTAAAAGAAATTGGTAGAGATTATGTTAGCTCTTTGAGGACTGTAAAATTAAAAATCTTTGGAATCAAAATTATGTTCCATGTAGTGGATTTTGATCTTCCTGTAGCGGGGGTCAGGATCATTGGGAATTATGTTTTCATTGAAGAAGCTGCAGAAATATCATACTTGCGGCAAACTATCATCTTTTCCAGTAATCCTCAAATCGACTACCCTTTCTCACTTCACTCAAACAATAGATACACGTCATCTTGGACAATACATCCTAGAACGCGAATGGTAGTGGAGTTTCCTATCACCAACCCTTGTCTCAAAGAAGGATTCTTACCTAGGACTAACCTTGGTCCTGGCATCGATTTTGGTAATGCAGTCGTCACCGCATCAATAGGAATGGCTAGGGCTTTAGTAATTAATGTCCGGAATGTACACCAAGAGATCACTATCCCTTCTCAGGACTTAGAGGATTTTGAAGCTTATCACGACGACCGTACCATCGATCTTGATGACGACTCGGACAGTGAGTCCGAAGAGGCTCCTTTGTATAACTTTCGCGACCGTGTGGCAGAGATCATGAAACGAATAAATCTTCAAACTCTTGCGCCCGAACACCAGGCCCACGTTATGCCCTACGTGGAAAACTACCCTGACATCTTTGACTTACCAAGAGACGAGGTAAAGAAGAAGAACATCGTAAAGAAATTGAAAAACGAAAACAAGCACTCCGACAGCGAAAAATAGTAAATTCCTCGCGATCACCTTACAACTTGTCACTCGAGATCGTTCCGAAGTAACTTGACGCTCAGGGAAGAAAACGTTGGCGACTAGTAATCAATTTTAGAGCACTCAATCGTAAAACTATCGGAGACGCGTACCCTCTTCCTGATATTGAAACCATCTAGAGTCAACTATGGGGAGCAATGTATTTTAGCGTGTTTGATTAAGCCAGCGGCTTCCACCGAGTACGCATGGACCCAGCTCACAGCCATAAGACCGCGTTTTCATTACCAGACGGTCATTATCAGATTGGGAATTTATACGCATGCCTTTCGAGTTACAAAATGCCCCCGCGGAATTTCGAAGAATGATGGATTCTGCTCTAACGGGTTTGAAAGGAACTGAGTTGTTTGCTTATCTCGATGACATTATTATTTTTGCTAGAACTCTCGAAGAACAAGGTAAAAGACTCGGTGGATTATTTCAACGACTCAGGGAAACTGGAGTCAAATTGCAAACTGAGAAATGTAAATTCCTTTGTAATCAAGTAAATTATCTGGGTCATGTTATTACTGCGCAAGGAATCAAACCTGACCTTGACAAGGTTTCAGCTTTTCAAGCCGTTCCTTAACCTCGTACTCAAAGGGACGTCAGCAAATTTCTCGGTCTTGCAAATTATCTACGACGTTTTGTTCTGGATTTTTTTGAACGAGCTGAACCATTAATCGATCTTACTAGCAAAACTCTTAAGTTTGAATGGAACGAAAACGCAGAAATAGCTTTTAACGATATC